GGTTTTTGATATTTGCATAATAGAAGGTTTTTGAAGTCCACAAAACATTTAAATAATGAAACTTAGGATACAAAAACAAACATTCAGTATATGTTTTCTTTCCTTTTTTTATGATTTAAATAACATGTACTTCATTGTTGTCTTTATATTTATCTTAAAATGCCAAAGGAATGGAAAATACATAATAAAAACATACACTACAAATTTAGCCAACTCCCTCTTTTTGTAAAGCTCTATATGACTATTAGCCTAAACTACATCAGTGAGTTACAGGATTTCACTATGTGACATCCACCTTCACATGCACTGCAGTTATATTTAAGTGGATTACGTATGCCTCATCCTGTGGCTCAAAATACTCCTTTGAGCAACAAAGTCATATGTATCTAAGAATAGTCCCCAACAAAGAGACCCTTTTCTCTGGGGGATTTCCTAAAACCTTAACTGAAAAATAGAAGAAAAAAAAAAAATCACCAAATCAATTTTTAAAAATGAACACATACATACAGTATTTGTTGCCTATTTAAGACAATATGTCTTCAATAGAGAACAAAATTCTTGGAAATGGCTGCTAAAGACATAAATATAATGATCCTAACAATATTAGTCCAACCTCCTTATTCTTATTGGTTTAGTATGATTTGATTTTGGTGACCCTCTGACCTTTTGTTCAGCTTCACAATCTTTTAAATGAGCAACAATGTCCCACTTGACAAGTTGAGACAGAAGAACTACAACCTCCTTTAATTCAAACACTTCAAATGATTCTTGTTCCTTATAAGCACAACGTCATGATTGTTGGATGGTTGTTGTTCATCTGGAGAAAAGGCAGAAGGAGTCTGATAGTGATGCAGTGCTGCAGAATCTGGAAGGGACGAGGTTAGTGCCTGAGTGTGACACTCAATCCTACAACAGCAGATGTTGATTTATTTAAACCTTCTAACCAAGAAGACATTTCAGTTGTCTTAAAGTAATAGAAATTTGACTGGTCCTATTTTTTTATTTTGGAGATTATGTCAGAAGAATTATCTTAATCTTAAGTGACATTTATCATTACTTTTCTGGTATATTTCTGGTAAACAAAAAACTGGTGGACACTTAAAGCTTAAACCCCAAAAACAGTGGACCAAAACCATTGCCATTCATCTGTTGCCTTCCTCGCAACTGCTGCTGCAAAGTTGAAGCAAACTGTTTTGGGAGATGTCAGCCAGAAGAAAAGAGATACCTGCAGCTCCAGGGCCTGAAGGTAATGGCTCTGTTGTGGAGCTGCATGTCATAACTTTGTGGCGAGATACTTAGGCAGACCCTGAACAGTTTTTGGGGGGATCCAGTACATCACCACTACCTCATGGTTGACAAATAAGTCGGGTTATTGTTTCATGTGTAGTTATTTATGTGTTGTGCGATGGCTCCACAAGCTGACCATAGGTGCAGATGCCACTGAAGGCCCCTGTAGCAGTGTTCCATTTCAGAATTGTTCCCCATCTGTCTTGAATGGCAGAGTGGTGCATTCATCTTCTAAAGACAGAGTTGTCTCATAAGTCTGCTGCCGCCAGCTTTATTGATCCAGCATTATGGATTTTTCTAGTCCATGAAGTAAAATTGCAACTTTCAGAGTTCATTCAGGGACGCTCTGACTGTATCTTGCATTAAAATGTGCCTTCTTTGTGTCCCTGTGCGAGTATAAAAACATGATTGCTTGGTTTGAATCAGTGGAATTTACATAATTTCAAGTGGAGAAAGCCTTCAAAACTGTTGCATTTATTTATTTTCTTGCTTTGTGTTTCCATCTCTGTTCAAATATACCACAGAGGACTTTGCCAGTTGAAGCACACAATGCTGAGCTCATTAACATTTGGATTATTATGCCGAGTTCTGGCTTCAGTCAGCGAGCTGATGTTTCCTCCTGAGTTGGGAACAGTGACTAGAAATTGCCTATTTAGATTCATCTCATGGATACTGCACCTGTCCTCGCGGCCCAGATCGTGATGGGGAACATAAGATGAATATTTAGTGATGCACCTGGTATTTTCAGATATTTTCCATGAGCACAGAGCTGTCTAATACTTCTTTGATGTCTTCCTGGCTGCATGGTGTGAAAGGATGCACTTTATTTTGCCCATGCAGTGCTCTTGAGGGGTTTAAAAATGCCATTACAATTGAGCTGACATGAAAACATTCCTTCCATTGGGATTTAGCAATACATTTTAAGCCAGGTTAAAAAAGTCAGTCTTTCCAAACTGCTGAAAGAAAACACATCTGAAACAAAGAGATTGGATTTAGTAATTAATGGTCTCCAGAGGATTTATTTTAAATTCTGTGGTTGTTGGTATTTGTCTCTCAATGGGTGTGGTGTTTCCTCTGTCTCTCCAGCTCTAAGATGTCGACGACGTTGTCGTGGTGCCACCCTGTATCTCCCCTGGCTAAGTGTGGTCTTTCATCCAGCCAGTATGTGTGCCAGTGTTCCTCGCCCTCCACATAACCTGCACAGTGGGTCCTGTGTGTGGTGTCATACACTGACTGATGCAGGAAAGAGATGCAGAAGGGCTCCAGTCTCATGCCAGGTAACCGTCCGCTTGGGCAGATTCCATCTCGTCCAGCCTCCTTAGGATCCCAGCCCCACAGCCTTTGACCTTGGCCCTTCCGCATCCAGGTGTCAAACCTCAGCTTGTATCAGGGCTCTTCTTTGCCTTGGGTCAGCTTTTCCCTTACTCCTGAGGTAGGCGGTTTCAAAATCTACCAAATTGATTTGCATAAATTTGTGGCAACAATTCATTATTTCATCATGAACTATACTCCAAATCTTGTTGAAAACAAGAACTCTCCCAAAGAGGGACATTACTTTTGATTGACATTATAAACACACTGTTGGTTGGCCTCCTTGTAAGTTTTTTTTAGGAAGTTTACAAAAGGTCCTTCTTCTTGCCCTCAAACAAATTCTAATCCAACAACAAAAAAATTGGATTGACAAAAGACATGCCAAACTAATGCCCAAGATTTCCTTGTGTTTGGTTCTAAGTTGCATATGTCAGCAGTATTTGAATACTTGCTCCTGTCTTTATGTCATGTGTTTTTTTTTGTCATGTTATTGCGTTACTTAATAATCATTTTAATAAACAACAAAATGAGGGTTAAATCATGTTGGAAACGTACTGTGGGAGTCGTCCTACTTTGTGGATTACACAACTGTGATTGACCCGCAATGGTCTGTTCCAGGCTAGTTGTGTTATCTTAAAATCAACAGATGGAAATTAAAGGGAATCTAAGGGTTCCCTTTCAAGACGTATTCAACTTTTTATAGAATTGAAATGTTAATTCCTCAATACCTGCTGTAGCTGTAAAATAAATATTGACTGATGAAAAATCAAGAGCCCAATAACCTAAGAGCTACATGACCCTTTATTCTCCCCTTTCAAGTGATTTGTGAAGTCACTCTGTGTGAAGACCTGAGAGGTTTAAATGCCACAAAGCTCAAGCCAAGTGTTTCATGAAGACGTATTAGTCTATAAAAGGAGTTCTTAAAAACAAAAACAAAAAACTTTCTGTCCTGAAATGACAGACTTTATTAAAAGCTTAAAGAATAAACTGGGCACTCAAAGTGTGAGTCATACTTCAGAAGAGAAGTGTTTCTAGTTATTACTCTCTCCTATACTCTCCCTGTTCTTGATCTTCATATTTATAGAAGTTAAAGGCTTAATGTGATTTTTCACACTTAAATATAATATAAATCAAGTATATCCTCTGAAAATAACTCTGTGAGTCATGACTGTCTACAATGTGAGTCCCACTGTCTGTGATGTTTTCAGAGTCCTATCTTCAGTTTGTTTACATCGTCGGGACGGCCGGCTGACTCCTCCCCTCTCATATAAAAGTTGTTTAATTGAGGGACTAGAGAAAAGAAGAATAACATACTGTACTCACTGCTTAACTGTGTTTCTAGATCACGCTCATTTCAGGTAAATTTACATGCAGTGTGAAGATACCAGCATAATAAAGATCGCTAGCATTAGCATGCTAACACAACAATGCAGCACGAGTTGTTTTGCTTTCATGCTGGTGCTCAAGGGCGACATCTACTGCATCAAAAAAAAAAAAATTGCATATAAAGCCTTTAAGCTATCCTATTTGCTGCTTTTAAAAAGGGAAGTCATGTAGGTACAGAAATAATAAGATAGAGATGTTTCTGTTGACCTGGGTTTGATCTAAAAGATAAACTTTATGTCAAGTCATCCCTCTCATTGGCAGGAATATTTGTGGAACTCAACTCTAGTCTGCTGTTTTCTCGTTTAACTTGTGTTACCTTTAATTTATATGGAAAATAAAAAAATAATACTTTACTGGTTAAATGTCAGGTTTCTCGCTTTGGTGCCGACAGTCATTTCATCTTACCGCACTGAAACACTCAGGGCATCCTGTAACTGATGTTCTCTCAACCCCTTCTGACATAAACTGATTACATTTTGGGAAATCCTCCTCCCTCCTTCCCCCTGCCAGGGAAATGCAAACATGCACAGCTCCAGCCTCCGCTTGGCAGAGGGAAATACATTTTGTTATCAGCTTCGGTTGGTTAAATGCTTAATTATTCATAGGGCGGTAAAGGCTTGCCCTCATGAGATTAGTGCATCCTAATTGTTCATCCCATTTGCTGTTTGAATGCAGGAGGGAGGCTGGCTGAACACCAGGATCGTGGATAATATTTTAATGAGAAAAAAAAATCGACATGCCATTCAGAAACTATATACACAACTCCTCAAACTTTCAAAATACAATTATAATAAAAGTTATAAATAACAGTAGCTTCCAACTTACTTCTGACATCAAGTTTGGAGAAGAATATTCAACTTTGTAACTTGTAATATACATTCAAGAAGAAATCACATTTGATTTCATGTTTAACTGATTTTCATGGGAGCTCATGTGTAGGTTTGGACCTTACTGCAGCAGTCCTGGTCCCATTCCAACTCCCTTTGCCCTGCCCCCCCCCGTCCCCCCAATCTGTCCATCTCTCCTGTCTTTTGTGTCTGCAGGGAAAGAAAAAAATGCCATTGATTTGATTTAAACTTTTACTCCAAATGTGTAACAAACAACAAAGGTGATCAAAGGTCATTACATCTCTTAGTTTACTCGTGATCCCCTGCATGTGCACACACGATGCAACATTTAAAACCTTTATGTCTCAAAAATGTTGTTTAAGTGTTCTTTTTTCATTCTGTCTGAATCTTTTATTTGTTATGTTTGTTTTAAGCTCCAGCGGATTAAATATAACTTTACTGTTCATATTGTAGCAGATATCAAAAAATAGATTTTGTGGAGAACAAGACATTTTTTGTTCAACATAAGCTGTTGCTTTCATATACAAAAAGCGACGGATGCGGCCGTGCACATGGCACACAGTTAGCAGGGGATGAAGCCTTTTACAGCAAAAACCAACACCACAATGTTAAAATCCACTATCAGACTGATTATGTTTTACACTAGGCTTGCAGTTGTTCTGAAGCCAGTATCAAATCACAAAGTTTCTTGCATGGAACAGCTTTGGCACTTCAGCTGTTTTGCTGACAGATGTAAAAGATTTCAGTAGGGTTAGCATGTTTAGCTGATGTAACCAGATTTGTGTTGTGTCAGCGCTATCTGCAAGGCGAACACAGTGGAGAACACAGAGCTAGAGTTTGTCCTGTGACCACTTACATTAGATTATTGGTTTGTGAGTAAAATGGTTTAAATGTTCGTTATTGTAGAAAAAGAAGAGCGTCTGGAAGAAGCTCTCACCACCTCTGGAGGTGAGAAACTGAGTTAGCACAGTGCACTGGGGCCCAAGAGTATAACAAAGCCTCCCACACCTGATCTTAATTACAGTCAATCAGCCACACACACCTGACACTGCACTGAGTTGATTCCCTCACCAACCTCAGTGAGAAGCCCTCAAAAATCCGTTTACTTTTTACCATTTCTGTCCATTAGCAGAACATAACAAAAACAAACAGTGTGATAAGCTCCTTCTCCCCACGATGTTCAGCCCTGCTAAAATGTGTTAATTTATTTCCCATCAGTCCATTTGGGCTGCCTTGTCAAGGGAGCTAGAGGCAGCTGTTGAAGAATTGTAAACAGTAATGAGCCTGGGATGGGGATATTTATTAGTATGATTTATGGCCAATTAGCCTATGTTGAATGCTCATAATTTAGAATTACAAAGAAATATGTTTTTTCTGAATTTCTTCTGTAAAACGCTGATGGCAATAAACCCAAAACCAAAGTACTTACCACACTGAATACTGTGTTCTCTTAAGTCGCTATTAAATAGAAATATGTAACTCTGACACCTAGCATTTAAAGGGGTCATATTATGCTTTTTTTGGTTTTATATGCTCTTTAGTGTGTTTTCCAAGTGTCCTGTGCATGTTTAGGCACATCTATGAGCAAAAATTCAAAGTCCGCGGAAATGCAGCTTCTCCTACGTCCTCCTGTTAGCTGTAGCATTAGCTGCATGTAACGCTCGGTTCTAGCCCCCCTCGAAAAAAATGTGTCAGTGTGACATCACTGATCTAAGCCCATTGGCTCGTTGTGGCAAGCCCAGCAGCTCATGTTGCACACCCGTTAACTTCTGTAGCACGCCCACAATATGCCGTAGTCTGCGGTAGCACAGTAGTGCTAAGGTGCTAATGTTTTTGCTCCCTTCGGAGCCAAAGTGGCTGCATTCCCAATATGGTAAAATGGGTGTGACTTTTCCGAGAACCGTGCTGAGCGACTGACCAATTACGGCAGAGTCGACAGGCCGACCAATAAGATCAGACTTGGCACACGTGGGGACTCTGAACATGGGCACTTCAGATTCTTAGAGAGAGAGTCAGAAGCGAGCAGGTGCATGGAGCTACAGTACATGAAAACAGACACTTTTTTAGAACTTTAGCTATTGTGAACATACTTTAGTAGGTACATAGATTAAATATATGAACCCCAAAAAGGGCATAATATGACCTCTTTAAAATGTATACTATTTTCAAACCATTGAGGAGCACTGTCTCCCCGCGCCCCCTCATTTACTCATTTACATATGTAGTCCCTGGGCAGGAGATAGAGACAACGTCATTGTTAAGAAATACAAACTACACTAAAAACATCTACAGAACAATAGATAACCACAATACAACAGCATTGAATTAATCCACAAATGGCAGAACATATATACTGTATGTATCCTAGTTTTACCACGTTTCTGGAGCTTATTAGAAAAATGTTGAGGCTTTTTAAGTTGGGTAGAATCAGTTATATCTGAACCAGTTCACTTGCCTGCTTTCGTCGCTGTAACACCTGTTGGTTTGCTGTTTGCCTGACAAACTTAGGGTCGTCTAAAACAACTGAGTGGGGGTGCTGTAAAACTGCCTCCCTTTTCTGGCCAAAAAACAAAAAACATTCTGTACCGGAATAGAAACTTAGGAGGACATGTTGTCAGAGAAGTCAGCACTTTGATATTTCATGTTCCCTTAATGTCTGATGATATAGTATTTTATGATTTAATTCAATAGATATCTTACATATTGGACCTTTATCCTTACTGATTATATGTTCACTTTCATTTCAGCTCTGGGTGACAGTCTCTTGTTTTGTTGTCTTCTATGGTGTTTAATTGCAAGTTAAAGCCACAGCTCCTGTTTGTAGAGGGGACAAATCATTGCAGAGATCAGATGAACACAACATGCCACTGCAAGTGCAGCAAAATCCATGTTAATGTGCAAAAGATGTTAAGAAAAAAAGGCATACTAAGCAGAATGCATGTCATTCAGGCAACTGCAGCAAGGGATGACCACTTAAGGCTATTTTGAAAAGGATTTTTTAAATGCAATGCAGAGCTATTCAATTGTCAAGCACATGTATTGGACTGATTTTAATAACTTTAATGTCAGCCTCAGGAATTTTGCCCCTTGCAGCTGTATTGTACAGGAAAATAAAAGTATTTGATCAAACTCTGCAGACATTAACATTAAATAATGTGGATCTGGACCAGGGACAACAAATCTTGTTATATTTTATTTACACTGGCAAAGACTGCATGTACAAGTGTCTTATAATTAGATTTCCTCAATCATGTAACATATAATGTAAGTCCTCAGGAATGTCACTGTCTGTCTGTCTGTCTGTCTGTCTGTCTGTCTGTCCGTCAGGTCTGATATTTTTTACACTGAAAGAAACAAGACTTAATCTCAAAGTTCAACTGATGATCAAAAGGAATAAAAGACCGTTTGATGTTTTTTATTGTAAAGGGGAAAATTCAGTGGCTGATTTTCTTTGTGAATCAATGAGGGCCAGTCACAAGGACCACAGAGTTAAGATAATGGGAATTTTGAGACACCTAATTTGTAAGAGAAGCCAGAAAGGCCTGAAGATGCTTTGATTATAGGTTGTAAAGATAACAGAGATCTAAAGCTGCAATCAAGCAATAGTAGAGGCATTAAGCATATGACCCAGAGGTGGCTTGTATAATGAGAACAAAAGAGGTCCAGGGATTGACCCCAGTGGGACCTCACAAAGGAGAGCAACCTGGGGAGACAGAGTTGTTAATGTTGATATTGAAGTGTATGTCAGACAAGTATGAGGGAACCCATTTACATGCAGGACCAGAGATTCTAACATAGCTCAGGAGCTTTTTAATTAGAACGACATGATTCATGGTGTCAATGAAGGCCTTAAGTCAAGTCGAAATTAAATGGAATATTCTCCTTCATCTGCATGCATAAGGAATAATGTCATCTGATTGAGGCAGTGCTGTTTCAGTTCTTAGAAATATTTCAAAGATATTGTGGCCAAAGGTTAGAGACGCTGGTCAGGTAGTTTTTCCAAGAATTTGTGACAGAAAGTTTCGGAAACAGATCTGTGTTTGACTAAATCTGGGGTATCTTTTGAGAACAGGAAAGACACTGGCTGTCTTGATAGACAGATAGTAAGCCACAGGGGAAAGTTTGATTGACAACAAAAAAAAAGACAGGTGGCATTGATTGGCAGGAGCTCTTTGAGAAATAAAAGAGACTTTCTTAGAAATAGTGATGAACTCAGAGAGTTGATACAGATACAACCCATGGCTGAACACTGATATGAGACCAATATTTTAACGAGAAATTTAGAAACACAACAGCTTATCAAATAAGCGTATACTGCAAAGCCTCGATGAGCAGAACCAAAAGTTGGTTCAATCCATGCTCAGCATTAGTTTATATTCTATGGAAGTGAAGGCAGTATAATTACAACACAGCCTAGTCTGGTATGACAAAGTAATTTATTTTAAATAACAAAGGAAATATCCTTGACAAATCACAGAATCAACCTGAAAACCTTTCATGCTCTCATGAGTTTGTATTTTTTGTATATCTTCATGTTTGTTTTCCCCCTGAGTCACTTTCTCTCTTTGTATCACTCTTTCTCTCCCCCGCCGGTCAAAGCAGATGGCTGTTCACCAATGAGTCTGCTTCTGTTTGAGGTTTTCCTGTCAACTGTCACCAAGCACTAGCTTATTGGTGGATAAAGTTGGGTCTCTTTAAAAGGTAATATGAACAGAACGATTTACGCTCTATATTAAAGTGTAGAGTTTTTTATTTAAATGTAGAGCTTTATAAATCAAAAGTAAGAGATTTACTATAAAACTACTCCTATTTATTATACATGCACCCCTATGTAGTTTGTTGTAAGGAGTCAGCAATGACTTAGTTACCATGTCAAACACTATTAATCAATAAATAAAAGGATACAATTATACAAGGAGTTATGCATGGTGTACAGACTTGGGCCATGTGAAAACAAAAGCAAGCTAAACCAATGGTTGTATGTAGGGGTAAAATGGTGAAAAAAAGTATTAACTTGGTTATGAAATGTCGTGCCTTGAAATTATGAAAGATTGGAAAATATACAACAACATTAAGGCTTCAGAGAAAACACATCAAAACACATTTAAAAGCCACACAGGACACGGTCAAGGCAGCTTCCTACAACCTACTGCAATAAGAAGGCTTCATGTAATGATGAGTAGTTTGGA